GGGGCGGGGCGGCAGGATTGAGCGCGGCTGCGGCCAAACGCGACCCCGCCGGCGGGAAGCTGGTGCCTGGCGCTCCCTGCCTGTGCGAATTTGCTGTGTGAGCAACCTGTGGCGTGCGGGTGGGACACAGAGACCGTTCGTTTGCTTTTCATACCAGGTGGTCTCTTAGTCTGGGTCAGTGCCTTTACCCAGCCAAGGTCCCACAGGGAGTGACAGCCGCGGGGCGGGCCCTGGCTACTGACTCTGGGCGTCTTCCCACTGACCAGCGCTCTGTCACCTGTTAGGGCAGGAGAGTTTTCTCTCTCGAGCGATACCAAAACCCGGCTCCTGCAGGAAGTAAAAGAGTCCTCATGTGCCTACAGGTAGTCCTGATCTATGACGGGGTTCCGTCCTGACTGAAGTCGAATACCTTTTTTTTTTTCAGTTTTCAGAACACTACCGTGTTTTGAAATGAACATCTGCAAGTGAACATCTGAGAATGATAACACCAGCAATTTATTTGCCACAACATTGTATGCAGTACATGTTATTGATGATAAGATGTATATTTTAAAAAAAGAGGAGAGTTATAAATGGAGTTCGTGGTAACTGGATTTCGTCGTAGGTCAGGGATTACCTGTAGTGGAGAAATGACTCTCCCTGGGCCTGAATTTTCTCATCTGTGAAATGAAGGGGATCCAGGAAGCCACCACAATGACTGGGCTAGCTGCCTTGTCATATGGGATTGCCAGTGCCCACTAGGGAGTTCCGGGTCTTCAGCTCTAACCTGCCTTTTGTTGGGATTCCCAGATTAAACCTGATCAAGATGACAACCTCCCAAAAGCACCGAGACTTCGTGGCGGAGCCCATGGGGGAAAAGCCAGTGGGGAGCCTGGCTGGGATTGGTGAAGTCCTGGGCAAGAAGCTGGAGGAAAGGGGCTTTGACAAGGTGTGGGGTGGCCGCATGTTACCTGGGGGCGGGGGGCTGGGGCTGCGGGGGAGTCCCCCATATTTCCTGGCAGATTGGGAGTGAGGAAAACGAACATATCTGTTGGGGGGTTGAGAGTGGGGTATAATATAAGAGACAGCCAAAGGTGGTCACCTGGCGGAGGTGAAGCAGGCAAACCCACCCTGCCTCCTGGGCTTTTGTGCTTTGAATGCCTCAAAGGTGGCCTTCTTCCTCTGCCCCACAACACACTTTGTGGCATGCCCTTTGCTTTGCCTGTGTTGCAGGCATATGTGGTCCTTGGCCAGTTTCTGGTGCTAAAGAAGGATGAAGACCTCTTCCGGGAATGGCTCAAGGACACGTGCGGTGCCAATGCCAAGCAGTCTCGGGACTGCTTTGGGTGCCTCCGAGAGTGGTGCGATGCCTTCTTGTGATGCTGTCTGGGGAGCCCCCAGTCCCCAGCCCTGAGTCTCCAGAGTTTGCAGTTGAGTGGGGACTCCTCCTCTGTCCTCTAGAAGGAAAAGATTGCTGTTGTCATGCTCACTTCCAGCGTACTCCAGGATCTTTTAGGAGTTTTTTCCCCTCACCATTTCAACTTTTTTGGAATTGTCACTCATGCATGAGTTCCCGTTTCTCCTCCTTCTCCTGCCAGTTCCATGGCGATAGTTAACCAGCTTTCCTGAGTGGATTCCTGGCCCCTTCTTCCCTTGCACCTTCACTTCTAGTCTGTTTTTATGCCATTTGGCTCCTTTTTGGCAGAACAGTCATTGTCTTTGTAAAGTTTTTTAAATCAATAAAGTCAGTGGCCTTCATGTCTGCGCTTTGTGTGTTGAGAAGTAAGTGGGCTGGGAGTGGCCTCTTCCCTGAGGACCCAGCAGGCGTTCTGTGCTCCTTATCAGTGCAGACCGAAACTTACCTTCCCACTCCCAGAGGGCAGCCACCCCAGCCGTGTGGGCCTCAGCAGGTGCCGTGGAGTGTCTCAATCCCTGAGTAACGTGGGAGACAGTGTGGGCTGATCCTTTCCTGGGAGCCAGACAGGCTGTGGTGCTCCACGGTGGAGTCAACAGCCGGACCAAGGAGCACCTGGTAGAAAAGTCAGTGGGAGTCAGGTGCCAGGAAGAGGGTAGACCAGATGTGGGTGTGAGCTCACTTGCCATGGTCATGTTCTCTCCTGGTCTCCGGGGGAAGTAAGCAAGGCTCTTGCCATCTGCCTGCTGTCTTTGGGAGGGAGAAGCATGAGTATCACAGCCAGGAGAGAGTGAGTGACTTACACTTCTGTTCAGTACATTTAATTCCTGCCTTTTGTTGAACAGTTAGTGCATACCAGCTCCAAAGCTAGGATCCTTACAAGCATTTATTTTTTTGCAACAATAATTGTTTTCTCTTTTACAGAGAGGAAATCTGGTTCAGAGAGGCTCATTTGTCCACGGACTTACTACTAGGAAGTAGCCAGGTTGGAACTCTTAACTTGATAAACCTGTGTACCTGGGAGAGCTGTGTTCCTCAGTCATGTCACTTGGCCTCTCTGAGCCTCAGTTTCCTCACTTGGGAAATGAAGTGGTTGTGAGAATCCAGTGCAACGCTAGCAGTACTGTATAGTGCCCAGGCCTGCTTGGCATTCAGCACCATTAAGGAGCTACTTGCTTACAGTATAAACAAAACTGTTCTTGATAGGCTTAAGAGTCTGGTGAGGAGAGGGTGACAGATATTAGAAACACAACTGTAAAAGTTGGGATAATAGCAGATGTTCATGATCTCAGGGTGGGGGTGAATTTCTGAAAGAAGAAAAAGTTGATAAATTTAACTCCATTAAAAACTCGTGTTCGTCAACCAACCAACCAGTTGCCGTCGAGTGGATTCCAACTCATGGCGACTTCGCTTGTTAAGAGTAGAACTGCGTTCCATGTTGTTGATTTTGTTTTTGTTGTTGATTTGTGACTTAGGAGATCCCATGTGTCACAGAGTAGAAGTGTTCCATAGAGTTTTTTTGGCCGTAATCTATTAAAGCAGATTGCCAGGCTTGTTCTGCAGTGCCACAGAGTGGGTTCAGACTGCCAACCTTTTGGTTACCAGCCAAGTACAAACTGCACCACTCAAGGACCTTTTCCATAAGATTTTCAATGGCTGCTTTTTCAGAGGTAGATTGCCAGGCCTTTCTTCCAAGGTAGCTCTGGGTGGACTTAACCTCTAACTTTTCAGTTAGCAGCCAAGTGCGTTAACTGTTTGCACCACTCAGGGACTTCTGTTCATCAAAAGACACCGTAAAGACCAAGTACTGAACTTTGGTTTACAGTGATGGAAAAATTACATTGATTAAGGTAGGATTACATGGTCGGTTAATGTAATTGCTGTTAATAAGTTGAATTGGCAGAAGTTGTGCGATAGATACATTTACAATAATGATAAAAAGAGAGTAGCTACTGAGGCTGCTTATGTACAATCAGACACCCCATGGGATTTGGTTCCTTGGCTTGGAGGTTTAGGGTCATGGTTTCATGGGACGTCCCAGTTAATTGGCCTAATAATGTGTTCAGTGCTTCTGTTTTACGTCCTAGTTCATCGCATAGTGGCTGGGGTCTTAAAAGCTTGCAAGTGGCCATCCAAGTCACAATAGTTGGTCTCTTCACCTGGAGCAACAGAAGGAGACGGAGAGTCAGAAATAGGAAGAGGAAATGCAATGTGTGGCTAATTATCTCCATGAATAATTGTCTCCTTTGCCATGAGACCAGAATTGGGTGGTGCCTGGCTACCATTACTGAACATTTGGATCAGAGATTCTGTAGAGAGGCGAGGCCAAGATGGCGAAGTAGTCAGATGCTTTCGGTGGACCTTCTTACAACAAAGACCTGAAAAAACAAGTGAATCGATTGTGTATGGCAGTCTGGGAGCCCTGAACATCAAAGGCAGAGTTGAGGAACCGGACTGAGTGGCAGGGGGAGGGAGAGACAGTTCTGAAGCAGTGAGGAGTTACCAGACCTGACCTGGTGGAAGCCTGAGCCCCTCAGGCCTGATCAGCTCGGGGGTGAGTTGTGAGGCAGGCAAGCAGCGGTGCTTGGGAGGCACATTTTCCACACCAGGAGAGACATGCACCAGAGAGTCTACACGGCCATCCAGAACCAGTGAGAAGCAGCCCTGGATCGGCAAAAGATAAGTACTTGCGTACGGCCTACCATATGGATCAAAAACCCCCCCCCTTAGGGAAAACCTCTCTCCTAGTTACCTCCCGCTCCTTGCTCTGCGCTGGTTCCTGGACCAGCTTCAATAATTGCCGAGTCCCCTGGGCCGGAAGTAGGATCCGTCGCACACCCGGAGCCATTCTCCCTGCCTTGGAGAGCGAACAAATTAACAAATGGGAAAAAGTAAACTACTGACTCCTCTAAGTCAGGAACCCAGGGTAGGCCCAGCTCTTTTGACTGGGCACAGGCATAAGGGATCCACGGACTTTGAGTGCCTTTCTCTCTGCATAGACTTGTGTGGGCCCATCTCAACTGCATAGGCCCTCATTACCTCTGTGCAACAGGGTATGTACCAGAAGTCTAACTTCAGCTGTTTCAGCTGTGAAGTGGCAGGTTCTTGACATTTGACACTGCTCTGCCAATTAAGCAAGGTTTTTACCTACTCACATCAGGGGCCTGAGGACTGGTGGCTCCACCTTTACCACCTAGCCACCTGCGATAGGGACCCATGAATAAGAGGTGCCCCCCAGTCCTTACAGCCAACAGCATTAGGTGCTCATAGTCTGGCTGCAAAACCCACCCACCTATGCACTCTAGGGAACAGGGACATGCCTTCCTCCTGGACACTAAGCGGTGGCCGTCAGCCCCCTTCCTTGCTCAGAGTGTGTCCCCCTGTTGCAGCCAGATGCTAATGCCTACACCAATCACCCATGCGTGTCTAGGACTGTAAGTGAGAGCCTACACCACACACTTGGTGGCTATCTACCTGGGCATCTGAGCTGAATCCATACAGGAGGAGAGGGCAGACTCCTGAGCTCACATACCTAGTAACAGATCAAACCACCTGGTGACAGTCATTAGAGCTTCAAAGGTGGCAATAATCAAACTAGCTCATACGAGCAACCTATTTGGGCGTATCAAAACAAAACAAGAAGCCAAGAAACAGCAAACATAAAGCAAATAATAACTTATTGATGGCTCGGAGACAAGAGTCAATAATCAAATCAAATAAAGATGTAATCCATAATAGCTTCAGCAAGCTCCCAAAATAAAGAATCTAGAAATTTTCCAGAGAAGGAAAATTTCTTGGAATTACTGGAGGCAGATATACAGAAGGTTAATATACAGAACTCTTTAAGAAATTAGAAAGGAAATTAAGCAAAATGCAGAACACGCAATAGAGAAAATTAAAAAGATTAGAGAAGAGCGTAATGATGAATTTAATAGGCTTCAAGAATCCATAGGCAGCAATCAGAAACCCAGAAGATTAACAATAAAATTTCAGAAATAAGCAACTCAATAGAAAGTCATAGGAGCAGAATTGAGGCAACGGAAGTCAGAATTATATTGAAGATAGAGCACTTGACACCAACTTATTTGAGGAAAAAATCAGATACGAGGATTAAAAAAATGAAGAAACCCTAAGAATTATGTGGAATTCTATCAAGAGGAATAACCTACAAGTGATTGGAATACCAGAAGGGGAGGAGGGTAACAGAAAATACAGAGAGAATTATTGAAGATTTGTTGGCAGAAAACTTCCCTGATATCGTGAAAGACGACAAGATATCTATGCAAGATGCTTATCGACCCCACATAAGGCAGATCCCAAAAGAAAGTCACCAAGACATAATCAAACTTGCCAAAACCAAAGATAGTTTTAAGAGCAGCTAGGGATAAACGAAAAGTCATCTACAAAGGAGAGTCAATAAGAACAAGCTTGGACTACTCAGCAGAAACCAGGCAAGAAGGCAATGGGATGAGATATATAAAGCCTTGAAAGAAAAAAAATGCCAGCCAAGAATTATATATCCAGCAAAACTGTCTCTCAAATATGATGGTGAAATTAGGGCATTTCCAGATAAACAGAAGTTTAGGAAATTTGCAAAAACCAAACCAAAATTACAGAAAATACTAAAGGGAATCCTCTGGTTAGAAAATCAGTAACATCAGATAACAACCCAAGACTAGAACACAGGACAGAGCAACCAGATACCAACCCAGATAGGGAAGTCACAAAAGGAAATCACTGAAAATAGAGAAACAGATGTCAATATGTAAAAGATGCCAACATTCAAACAAAAAAGAGGGACTTAAAAAATGTAGACACAGATTTTTCATATGGAGGGGAAGTCAAGGTGATATAAAGAAATAAAAAACTGGTATAAACTTAAAGAAATAGGGGTAAATATTAGGGTAACCACAAAGGAAACTAATAATCCTACAAGTCAAAATAAAAAACTAGAAAAATATAAAAATTTAGCAAACACAAAATCAACAATGAAAAAGATGAAAAGAAAATACATAAAAACAACTCAGCACAGAAAATTAAGTGGAACAAAAACTGTGAACAATACACAAAAAAAAGACATCAAAATGACAGCACTAAACTCATACTTATCAATAATTACGCTGAGTGTAAATGGACTAAATTAAATGCACTAATAAAGACACAGAGAGTGGCGGATTGTATAAACACGATCGGTCTATACGCTGCTTACAAGAGACACACCTTAGACTTAAAGACACAAACAAAAACTCAAAGAATGGAAAAAAATATATCAAGCAAACAACACAAAACAGAAGTGGCGATATTAATCTCTGACAAAATAGACTTTAAAGTAAAATCCACCACA